GGGGGGGGGGGGGATGACTTATGCTGAGGTCTTTGCGGAGACGCACAAGAAGAAGAAGAAGAAGAAGGACGACACACGAGAAGGATAGGTCGAATCGCGTGCTTGAGAGACATTTGTATGATCCTAACACCAACACTATATTATTTTTCCCTCATGGTTTATTTTATTTATATAACGTGTATTATTTTTATTTCAGGACACGTATCATATTGATCTTGATGCATGACGATAAACTCAGCTTAAAGGAACTCAGCCGGCTCCGGAGAATATGACTGTAATTTGGAGACAGGCGGTTGGTGGCGTGAATAAAGGTATAAATATTATGTAATTATCTATTTTGGTATTAGTTTAAAAGTTGCGTGTTTATTTTCTTACTTATTTTACTCTCTTTTCTTTGTTTCTCATGAAAATAATAAACAAAGGTCGAGTCTATGGGATTGGAGTACACCCATCCTCCAGTCGTCCACCAACAACATTATTCACTAGGGAATCAGTTTCCCAAGAAGACATGGAAGCTATGCGTCAAAAGGTATATCAAATATCGCAAGAATGTCAAGCAACTCACGCTCTGATCCAAAAATTATTAAAAAAGAAAAGCAAGAAAGGAGTTGCAGTGGAGTCTGAGTCTCAGGAGGAGACTGATTCTGAATAGGCTATCTGAATGTTTTAGAGTTGAAGTTAGAGACATGCGTAATTTATGTTGTTTGATTAGTTGGTTGAATTGCTATAAATATTACTATTCGTTTTGTAGTAAATATTGGATTTGAATTATTATATTAGATTTTGGATTATTATATTAGGTTTTTGTTTGGTTGGCTGTTTTGTTTGGCAGGTGGTGTAATTAGAAATACAGCAGAATTCTACTTAAAAATACCCAGATTTGTGACTGAATCAATCGCAAATTTCACCAGGAATTACCCAGATTTGCGACTGATTCAGCCGCAAATTAAAAATTTCTAACAAAATTTAATTAATATTTGCGACTGAATCAGTCGCAAATGGAGAAATATCGATATTTTCAATTAATTAATAATCAATATTTATGATTGTTTCAGTTGGAATAATTAATTAAAAATTAATTTTATTTTTTAGTTTTCCGACGGAATCAATCGCAACTTTTAATTTATATTTATTTTTTAATTCTGTTCGGCGACTGAATCAATCGCTAAATTTGTGACTGATTCACTCGCAAATGGCCTAATTTCAATTATCCCCGTATTTTTTAGTTTGCGACTGAATCCGTCATAAATTTTTGACTGGTTCTGTCGCAAATATATTGCGACCATGTGTTTTTCGACTGACACATTTCAGTCGGAAATCCGTCGGAAAAATACGATTTTCAACCGATTTTCGACTGATTTGACGGTCGTAAATTTGTTATTTTTTAGTAGAGTCATAATACACATTACGAAACTTCTCAAGACTTTAACTTGTTGAACGGGATGCAAATGCTCAAAACGACCAGTCGGGTCGTTACAATACTACAACATAAGTAGAAAAATCAAATAATTTTTTTAAAACCTCGTTCATATAAAATATTTCTCAACATATGTTTTTTTTTAAAAAAATAAAGTGATGCACTAATTATGAGGGTATTTTTGTAAACAAATAATTATTTTAGAAATTGTGCAATGCTTTAATACATCAAATCAAATAATGAATAAGAAATATGTCAGCATAATTAATGAAAACATAACCAATATCAGCATTACTAATATACCATATTCAACATTATTCTTATACATCCTACCAAACGACCCCAAAATCTTTTAGTTGTGTGTTAATATAATTAAGTAGAAGACTAATAATCGACATAGTATATCTTATTTGTGTGTGTTTAAATTGCTTGGACTACTAACTTTGGATACAGAATCCTTAAAGCAAAAATAGAAAGAAAAAAAAATTTAAGTTACCAAATTCTTTGTCTTGTTGGGCTTATTACGATTAACGACACTTGTCATGAGAGTGTTAACGGCTCTTGTTCAACACTAAGGGTCGTTGGGTCGGATGTATCTATCTTTATCTATATAGAATCTATATGGAATAGGAGAAGCAAATCAGCTAATGCCAAGTGTCACAACATAAAATTAATAAGTGTCAAATTTTAGTTGTGATAATATTGAGTATGTTGTTGTTGTTAGTTAGGTTAGTTAATAATTAATTACTCTTTTTGAATTTGAATTTGAATAAATATCTATATAATTTTTAGGATACTATTATAAAAAGCAAAAATATATAAATAAATAACTTTAGTGTAGAGATATATAAAAACCTACCAAGATTTTTAATAATTATTAATTTGTGTTATATTTAGAATATAATTATTGTATTTATAATATCCTAACAATATCTGTATATTTTTATATTTTTTTATTATGAATGAGTTCTATTTATTAACTAAATTTTTTTACATGAGTAATTTAATTAATATATATAATTTTTTACGTTATCTCTTGATTTTTTTAAAGTATTCTTTCTTTATAACTATAGCATGACCATATGAATTAGGTTTTTGTCTTTAGTTTTATCTTATCCATATAGCATATAGCATGATTATCCTATATATATAGAATAGGAGAAACAAATCAATATGATAATGTCAAGTGTCACAACAAAAATTTAACAAGTGTCAAATTTTAGGACAAACTTAGTTAGGTTAGTTAATAATTAGTTACTCTTTTTGAATTTGAATAAATATCTATATAATTTTTAAGATACTATTATAAAAAGCAAAAATATATAAATAAATAACTTTAGTGTAGAGATATATAAAAACCTACTAAGATTTTTAATAATTATTAATTTGTGTTATATTTATAATATACTTATTGTGTTTATAATATCCTAACAATATCTATATAATTTTATATTTTTTTATTATGAATGAGTTCTATTTATTAACTATAATTTTCTACATGAGTAATTTAACTAATATATATAAATTTTTTACGTTATCGCTTGATTTTTTTAAAGTATTCTTCCTTTATAACTATAGAATGACCATATGAATTAGGTTTTTGTCTTTAGTTTTATCTTATCCATATAGCATTTAGCATGACCAAATGAATTATTATTCAAAAAAATTCTCATCTCAAAAAATAAATTAGTCTTATTATTTTATATATCTCTATACTAAAGTTATTTATTTATATATTTTTGCTTTTTATAATAGTATCCTAAAATTTATATATATATATATATTCAAATTCAAATTCAAAAAGAATTATTGATAAATTTAGATCATTGAAGACTTTTCAATAATCTAATATAAATTTTAAAAAAATAAAAATAATTTCAGAGTAAGAAAATATATATTTATGTTATATTAAAAGAGAAGTAATATCAAAATATTAAGCAAATTAACAAGTTAATAAAACGTCACATTAGTAAATGTATAATACTAAGTACTTGCTAGTTTATCAAAGAATAAATAAAGAACAAACGATTTATTTTAATACTATATGATGTGTATTCTTTGATTCGTATAGACTTTGTTATATTTCTGCATACCATATTACACAATAAAATAACAACTAAGATTTATAAAAATATCATAATTTTATAAGATTAGTATATTGTCAAATTATCTTCGCATCGCGTAGGTTCTAACACTTGTTAGAGATAATACATGTATTAGCTTGGGTATTGTTAATATCTTGTTTTGTAGTATTTTTTTAAGTTATGTATAACTAATACTATTAGTTATACCTTTCTTATGCATAATTTTTAATTCATGAATAAGTATGTATAAAGACAGATTTGTCATTTCAAAACCTTTAATATATCACACCAAACAGTCGATAAGAAATAATTTCAGTATAACTAATCTTAATATTACTAGTCCCAGCATTACTAACACATCATATTAACTACTATTCTTATGCACCCTACCAAACAACCCCTAACATGTTTAACACGTTTCCCAGAATGGAACCATCAAGAATGAAACAAACATGTACTGGGTTTGTTTGCACTTGTTGAGAATAGACCACTCATATGCCACTTTTGTTTAATTTTCATCTTATGTATTGATCCTTTAGTAGAAACATCGAACATTATTCTTGGAGATATCTTGTGACTAAATGTGTACCTGGAAAATTCAATAACCATGCAAGAATTAAGGAGCAAAGCACAGAAAAATAATTTTCATCATGTATAAATATGAGAGGAAGGTAATAAAATTTTGGGAGTTAATAACCACCAAAAATTGTATCGAATTCTGGCGATTCTGCAAACCTACACAATAAAACCGCCACAAAAAAAATTATTTTGTGGGAGTTGAAAAAATGCCACAAAATGAATTAATAGTGAGAGTTTTTACGACTCCCACAAATAAACCAGTCACAATTTAACATATTTTTTGTAGTGATTTATGATAAGTAGAAACTATTATCTTCATCAAAATACTCTTCAAACATTAAATATTTCACTAGCATTTCAAGTGTATAAGTTAAAAACTTTCAAACATCGATGACCAAATCAGTATTTACAACAATTCTCCACCACACAAATACACACAACTTATCTAGATATAAACCTAAAAAAAAAAGACTTTGGTTTTATGCTATACGTTTCCTCTATAAATAGTTCGCTATGAGAACCTTACTTCTGCATCAACAAGCTAAGATAAATCACTTACTATACTCTTAAGAAAAATCAATGGCAGTGAAAGGTTTTGCGGTGTTGTTGTTTGTTGCAATGCTTCTCATGTCAACAGAGTATTCCATGGCTCAACAACGTGATCCCGTATGCGCAGCATTATGCGCAATTAGGTGTGGAACAAGGCCTGTATGCTTAGCTAGGTGCCTTGCTGGTTGCTTTATTGCAAGTAATGACACCTTAGACGAATCTCATTCTACTTCAGTTGAAGCTAGAAACCGCGTCTGCAATGTTGGATGTTCCCTTGGCCATTGTTCCCAATTCCTATTCCAATATGGTACCTCTCTCCTTGCAACCGGATTTAACATTTTTTTATTTTCTATATAGTTGACTTATTGTTTCGTTACAATCCTTAGTTTATGACTGCAATATTAAAAGTTGGACGAGTACAACTATAACATACCCCGTGTGATTTCATATATAAGTGGGGTTTGGGACAGGTGAGGTGTACGCATACCTTATCCCTATCTTGTGTTATGTATAGAAGTTATTTCCTATAGAAAAATTGAATGACTATTCATGAAATTATATTAACCACTAATTGAGAAAAGCATTTTCGGCTTTCTGATATAGTCATAGATATGTCATTGGCTACTAGTACTTAATCTTGAGACTTACAAAATTATTTTTCTGGTTAATGTTGCAGATAACGAGAAGTTTGGAACTTGCATGGCAAACTGCAGTGAGAACTATTGCATTGGCAACAGTACTCTAGAGAAAGCTTAAGAAGCAAGCATTTGCTCTAAGAAATAAGTAAACTTTGCCACAGTATGTGTCTGTGATAATGACACTGTGTACTCCTATAAATAAGTGGCAAACTCGTGTTTTGTGATCCAATTATCTAATAAGATCTTTTCAGTTCAGTCAATATATCCGTGACCTTTTTATGGGAAAAAAATCATATATCAACAAGAAAATCAATACCTAAATCAAATTGATGAATTATATAATACAACAAAATCAATAATAACTATGCCTCAGTTCTAACCGTCGATAACTTTATCTAACGGCTGAAGATCTTGATACCTACCCTTATACATCACATGTTCATAAACTTTATATATATACACCCGAAATTGCTTTAAGATTTCATGCTTTTTGTAAGAATATAAAATCGAAATATTCCTAAAAAACTTTTTATGTTATTGTTCCAAAAACCTAGAGGGAAGAAAGCATATAGTTCATCCAGCTAAACCTGGTATTATTGACAACACAGCTAGCGAAGCATGGAAATTACTTTGGCTCAGTGAAGAAATAAATGAGGTTATCCAATATTAACACCATGCAATTATAATGGAAATTTTAAGATTCTGTTGTATTAAAAAATAACGTAACTCTTTTTTAAAATATAATTCCAAAGTAAAATATGTTATTTCTCAAGATACAGTTTTAAAAATCTATTAACATATGAAAGCTAATTAATAAAATATTATCTGAATTGTTAGTGTTACTCTACTCGACTTAATTTTATACACACACAGAGTTTTGTATTATTTCTTAAAACATAGATTATCATTTTTATGAACTTAATCATATTAACGCACAACAAATGGATCTTTGTAGTCGATCCTTAAACAATCATATGATATGATGTATAACAACGAAAGAGAAGCACGAAGACTTATTAGAAACTTAGTTGAACGGTCCAGAGAAAATGATAAAATTAGTCCTTTATGTTTGAGGGATTGGTCTAAGATAGTCCCTTAAATATTCATTTAAGCAATTTTAGCTCATTAATTATCCAAAATTCGGCACTTTCAGTCTCTATTATAGTATTTATAACACGTAGAGGCATTTATCTTTGACGAATTGACTCATGAGAAGTATGTGAGACATTAAACTGAAAAAACCTACTGGGACATGCTTCTCCCGATTCATTTTTTTTTTGGGTAATAAAAAGATTTATTTACCAGTAATATTTACACATTGTTCTGTTCTAGCCTGATCTGGACAGCAGTCCCAGATTCAGCTACTCGTCTTTCCTTCCCTCTTACTAACTGTTATACCTTCTATTTAAACAACTAATTGAACAGTAGGATAGTAATTAAGCTCCATTAGTCTTCTCTGTAATCTCTGCCTGGAAGCCCCTCGACCATGTACATCTTGTGTTATTAATCTACTAAGTATTATTGCTGACCTTTGCTTTGCTTGAAATATTCTGTCATTTCTTTCTTGCCAAATATAGAACAAGCTGCCAGCAAGCGTTAATCTGTATACTTCAGCTTTTGTGCTCCTCCCGTTATAGTGTCTCTCGGCCTATACTACCTCACTTGCCCATGGTATCACATATCTGTGTATCCCTTGCCATTCCAATATTGTTGTCCACACTTATGATGAATATGAACAACTGAAGAAGAGATGGTCTATGGTTTCTTCTTCTGTATTGCATAGTGGGCAAGTTGTGTCATCCAAACATCCCCATCCTCTCAATCAGTCTTTAGTTAGTAGTCTTCGATGAGCAGCCACGTATAAAGTAAAATCCACTTAGGCAACCTAGCATTATTGCAGACCGGTCTTCTCCATGAAACTTTAACAAAGTCTCCTATAAGGTGCAGATACATGGCCTTTATGGAGAACTTGTCCATTCCTTCTACATCCTCTTCTGCATATCCAGCTTCCTCAAAGTAGTTCTTAGCTTTCAGTATCTTTTGAACAATCCAAAAGGCTTTCTTTGGCTCAGCACCCCACAAAGAGTTATGTTTCTTGTAGTAAATGTGAATCCATTGCACCCACATCTATACCTTTTTGTTGCATAGGTTCTATAGGAGTTTGCAAATAGTTGCCCTATTCCATGTTCCTACATCAAGTAAGTTAAGTCCACCTGCTGCTCTAGGTTGGCACAGTTTGTCTTAAGCCAGTAGTGCTTTCTTTGATACCTCCACCCCTTCAGTCTATAGGAATATTCGACACACATTCTCAATTAGTTGAGTCAGCTTCTTTGGCAACAGAAATACCTGGGACCAGAATACTTGAATAGAGAAGAGGACACTTTTAATGAGTTATATTCTCCTTGCATAAGATAGAAACCTTGAAGTCCAAGACTGAATTCTCCCTAACATCTTCTCAATGAGAGGCTGACACTAAACAAGTGATAGTCATTTGGTACCTAGGAGCACCTCCAGATATCTAACTGGTAATGTCCCTTTTCAGAAGCCTAAGACTTGCAATATCTCATGTTGAATATCAGTACGTACTCCTCCAAAGAAAATAAAACTTTTGTCAGCATTAACAACTAGTCCTGAGGCCTTTGAGAATTTCTAAAAGCATTTATACAACAGTTGCACAAATATGATATCACCTCTACAGAAGAGCAGTAAATCATTAGCAAAACTGAGTTGGACAATATTCATTTTGGCACACTTAGGAAGTTAGGATGGTAGTTGAAGTTAGGATCCTTCCTGAGTGTCTTCAGAAGCCTAGTCAAGTACTCCATAGCCAACACAAATAGATAAGGAGACAAGAGGTCTTCCTGTCTCAAACCTTTATTTGCCTGGAATAGTGTTGTAGGTTGCCTATTAATGATGACGGAATATGAGACAATTGTCACACACCTCATAATCCATTGCACAAACTTCCCTGAGAGCTGTAGATTTGTCAACACTTGTTCCAGATAACCTCATTCCACAGAATCATAAACCTTCTTCATGTCCATTTTTATCATGCATCTAAGGGATACACCTTTCATGCCATACCTTTTCACTAGTTCATGGCTGAGAGTTATATTATCATTTATCAATCTACCAGGCACAAAGGTTGATTGATTCCTATTCACCAGACCATCCATCACTCCTTGAAGTTTATTTGTTAGCACTTTAGATATAATTTTGTATAGTAATGTACAACATGATATTGGCCTATATTCAGTGACTCTGGAAAGGTTGCTCACCTTAGATACAAGGGTGACTGTTGTACAATTTATAGGCTGGTACATATTTGTACTTAAGAAGAACTCTAACACAATATTTGTAACTGTATCTCCTATCGCATACCAATTTCTTTTAAAAAATAATGCATTGAAGCCATTAAAACCAGGAGCTTTAGTGTCACTAGTGTCTATCAAAGCATGACAAATATCATCTCTAGAGATATCTGCCACCAGATGTAATTGTTGTTCTCTATTCACCAATGGGCCATCTCTCATCACTATTAGGTTGATAACATACAGTTCTGTAGCTGAGGAGCCTAGCAACTTCCTATATAACCCTGTTACTCCCTCTTTAATTCCTTACTTTGTTTGCACCAGATCCTCATTGCCCCTAATTAGTCTTATAATCTTGTTTTGGGTGTATCTGCTCCTCATATTACAAAAAGGTATGTTGTATTAGCATCTCCTAGTTTCATCCACTGTACTCTTGATTTCTGCTTCATAATACTTTCCTCCACCTCTAGCCATTTCTCCAATTGTGCCTTCATGTCTTTCTCTGTTGAAACCATAGCCTCTAATTGCCCAGGGACCCCTATTTATTCCTGCATATGACATAGTTGTTGCCTACATTATTTTATTCTATTGTCAATTGCATTATACTCTACATTATTTAGAGCCTTCATAAATTGCTTTACTCTTTTCAGTTTTTGTCATGTATCCTTCATAGTATTCTGTTCATTTGACCCCTCCCATGCTTTACTGACTAGTGTCATAAAGTTTTTGTGACCTGTTAGGTGATTTAGGAATTTTAATGGTTTAGGAGCTTTATCTTCAATATTTTCCAAGGTTATGCTTAGTGGGGAATGATCAGAGCAGGATGGATTCATTACCCATACTTCTAGGTGTGGCATAGTCAACATCCACTCAGCATTAACCAAAGCTCTATCAATCTTGCTGTAGGTGTGCCCATTAGTCCATGTAAAGCTTCTCCCACTAGTCTTCATTTCTACCAGACCAGTATCTGCAATAAAATTATTAAAGTCTCTAATCTCCATTTCTTGCACAGAGTTACCAATTGGTTTATCCTCTCCTGATCTAATAGCATTATAGTCACCCATTATCAACCATGGACCTTGTTTTACAACCTGTAGGCTTGTCAGGTCACTCCATAAACTTCTCCAGTCATCCAAAGTGCGCTGTCCATAAACAACTATAAAGGTAAACCTCATATTCAATATAATAATGCTTACTAAAACATGTATGAACTGGGATGATCTTCCTAAATCCATACAGTCTACTTCATTTGTATCCCACAGTAGCCTGATTCTTCCTCTACTACTATACTCATAGTTAGCTAACCAGGCCCATCCAGGAGTTATTTTTCTGATTACTTACATGGACTTCTGCTCTTTTATTTTAAGCTCTAATAGTGCAATCATATTAACTTTATTTCTTCTAATGAACAACTTGATATCTTTTTATCTAGGGGTCTTATTTAGTCCCCTTATATTTCATGTGACCAGCTTCATACATGTATAAAGAGGGACTGTGAAGGCCCATCCTGCCCCTATATTACTTCTCTGTCTACTTGGTCCTTCCTCAATTTGCCTTTGTACTGTTAGTTGTAGTCTAGATTCTGTTAGGATATTAAAGCCATTGATTATGTTGACTGTATCATCTACTTGTCTCTCTCTGCTCCTAGATGCTGATTTCCCTATAACTTTGTGTCATGCTTGGTCCTCACCTCTTTTGGTTGGTCCTGCATTTGGATCCATAAGACTGGTGCTGGCATTTTCTCCAGCACTAGGAATTACCATCTCCTGTTGACCATTGTCAGTTGAGGGTGCTTCCTGCACTTTTAGCACAGTTTTGGGCTGCCATTCCTACTTATGCTTCTCCCGATTCATTTTTTTCAGTTTGTAACTTAGAAAAAATTCTTATCGTCAATATTAACAAAGGTGGTAATTGAGAATTCGGAAAAGATATAAAATATTAATTCATTCTC